ATGGGAATCCGCCCAAAGAGACGCCGACACTCTCTACAGGAGCCAATGCCCCCCCTCAACATGGAAATGCCAAGCACAAAGGGATTCGGACCTAGCAGACCAAGTCACAGCAAACACCAACGCCGCCAACGCCGCCAGACCAGGGAGAAACAATAACAACGACAAGCCCAACCACCCAAAAGAAGAAGTATTCAACCGCGACCTCTGGACCTGGAACCTCTGGGTCCTCTCCGAATCTGTCCGCCGCACCTGGATCATCGTCGTCTGCACCCTGGGCGTGTACAACGCCCTCAAGGGGAAATGGGGCGAGTGCTCAGGCGGCGCCCTCTTCACCGCCCGTGCGGGCCTCTGGGATGCGCCCTCGGCTCCGCGATGGGCGGCGCTCTGTCGAGAGACGTCCGCGAAGGGGGCCAGGACCGGGCGAGGCAGAGGTGGTACCGGTACCGGAGTTGATGCTGCTGCCGATCGTCCGGGGGCGGAGTGCAGCGAGGATGATGATGCCAACGGCTGCGGCGATCGGAATCTCTTTGTGCCTTCTCTTGATAGCGATGGGCTACTTCATAACACGGCCGCGGCGGATGTTGATGAGTTTGCGAGGCACTTGTTTACATGTATCTGGGGTCTCGACCGTGTTGAAGATTGGGCACTAAGAACGGCTTCAGAAGGGGAGGTGAACTTGGTTTATTGAGGTTGAACGTTGTGGTTTCGGGTAAGGCGGACTCAATGTGGCTAGGACTTATCTGCCATGCCCTTTAACAGAAGGCCATGGATGTCAACAGGTTTGAGATCATTACTGTGAACGACATGGGCGATATTTTCGAAAACTATCATTCACGTCAGCGTGTGTGAGATATGCTCCCGACCACAGACTTCGAACCACGACTACTGGAACATCATTACTTCAAAGACTTCATGTTATAATATACTTTTACATACGGATCTACTGGCGAGACTGTAACGTCATGACACAAAAACATCTTCCATTTATTTGCAAGGCATGATCATTACCGTCAACGCCCGTCGAGGCAGGGCCATTCGACATCTAGGCCTTTTACGATCCCCGCACCGTCCCTAATCAAATTGCGTTTTGAGATACCGAGCACACGGCTACCTACTCCTCATCCTCTTCCGCCTCGGCCATCTCCTCGTCGGCGTCCTCATCGGCCTCTTCTGCCTCCTCTGCCTCCTCTGCCTCCTCGGCCCCCTCGGCCCCCTCGGCCTCCTCAGTCGCGTCTGTTCCGTTGACCTTCGTGACCTCGGCAACTTGAGGCGCGGCGCCACCCTGCTTCTCGAGTTGAAGCCACTCGTCCCACTCGGGAAACAGGTCTTCGTCTTCTACCGGAGCACCGACCATCTTGGCGACGCGGCCCTTCTTCCCCTTTTCGAGGCTTTCCTTCCACTCCTTGACGACATCTGCCGTCAGACTGGGCTTGTATGTTTGCGAGAACAAGACAGCCTCCGCTAACCGTCCAGTCTTGGTAAGAATCTCCACGCAGCCAGCAACGTCGCCTAGCAGCCACTTGCAGCTAAATGCCACGTTGTGAGCGCCGGCCTCTTGCGCTTGGTCGGAGAGTTTTGACAGGCCACTGCGGTCGGATGTGGAAGAGTAGAGAAGGAGCAACGAGCCAAGGTCCTTCGCATGTGTAAAGCACTCTTGCGCCACGGCGACCTGCCATCCGGCAAGGGCAGCGTCTCCGACTGTCTTCCACTTGTGCTCAACATCTGCCTCTCTCGCCAACTCGAGAGCAGTATCCAACTGACCCAGTCCGAGAGCGAGGTCAAACTTGTGTTCGGGATCGGTAGCAACCTCCAGGGCAAGTTCCTTGTGACCCTGTCCCTCCAAGAATCGTGCGATCTTGTTGAGTTGGTCTGCAGGAATCGTGTGCAAGAGTTCTTGTGCAGTCTCCATATCATCACGAAGAACCAGAGTCTGGTACTCGAGCACAGGCAAGGACAAGGAAAAGGAGGTGACACCGACATCCTTATCAGCCAGGTAGATTCTTGAATCACGCTGGATGTAACCCAGGATGTACATGGACTGGTCGAAGTGGGATACCGTGTAAGTCTGGTCGCCCACAAGGTAGTTCAACCGGTTGGTGCTGTTGGTGTATAGGAAGCAATCCCCAACCCACTCTCCGGTGCGAACACTACTTGAGCATTAGCATCTAGTTGTTTGGGGCGTAGATAAACAGCTTACCTCTCGTTGATGTCCGTGATGACCTCAAAGGCGGCCTCGACACCATCTTCGTCAATCTGGTTGGTTTGGACACCCTCGACGTAGGCTTCGCGCGAGAAACGCAAGACGTAGAAGGTGTCTTCGCATGCGAGGGCAACCAATTCGCCGCTATCAGACCAGTACACCTATTCAAATTAGCACATGGACCGAAGCAGCGCAGCAAGAAACCAACCTCTCTCGGCTCGACCTCAATGCGTCTGACCAGACCACCGGTCTGCCAGTCAAAGAATGAGATACCCCCTTGGCCCTTGACACCAAGAAGGACACCTCCAGTCAAGCCTTCAGCCTGGAAACCGACATCGAGGCCACCCGCCTTCTCAACAAAGTTCTTATACACCTTGACGCTGGTTGCCGACTCTCGGATGGCGAAGTCGTTGGTGTTCTCCTTGGATGCCCAGACGAAGTCCAGCGCAGAGCCAAAGGCCTTGTTACGCCAAGCGAGAGCCGTGTAGATGATGTATTCTCCATCTCCGCAGACTGCGACAAATCGGCCATTCGGGTTGTGTACAAGCGTCGAGGGGTACACTTCGCAGGTACCGAGCTCCTTGACAGGAAGGGAAATGGGCTCGTTGTCCTTGATCGAGGCATCTAGTGGTGTTAGCAAAAGGTGTGGGGTTCAAGATCGACGCAACATACCTCCACCCTTGATAATTGCAGAGACGACTTCGTTGTGGCGGGCCCACACAAGCTTTCCTGACGCATCCATTGACACGGCTGGCTCCTCACGACCAAGCTTCACAACGACAGCACCATCGTCGAAACCAACAGCTACGCCTTGCTTGCCCTTCTGGTAGGAAACGCACCATGCGCGCTCCAGGCCATAGTTGAGAGACTGCTCGAATCGGTATGTATTTGCGTGCCATATCCTAATGGTGCCGTCTTCGGAACCGGAGATGATGACTGGCAGCTCGGGGTGATAGCATGCGAAAGAGACGTTGTTCGTGTGGCCCTCGAGGGTGGCGATCAGAGATTTGGTGGTATAATCCCAGACCTTGACGGTGCGATCGTCGGATGTCGTCAGAAGATAGGGCTTGTCAGAGTGAGGGTAGTAGTCGACGTGGTTGACACCCTTGGCCTCGTGGGCCTCGAGAGTGAAGTTGGGCGTCGCCGAGCCGAGACTCCAGATCTTGACAGTACGATCAAGGGATGCGGAAGCGAAAGTGTTGGTATCCTTGGGGTTGATGGCGAGGCCCATAACGTAATGGCCGTGGCCCTCAAAGACTTGGACGCACTTCCAGCCCTTCTCCCAATCCCAGAGCTTAATCGTCATGTCATCGGAGGCGGTCAGCACGAAAGGTTGTGTCGGGTGGATGGCGATGGCGCGAATGTAATCGGGATGGGCCTCGAAGGAGGTGATCTTCTCTGAGGTGTTGTAGTTGTATACACGAATCTGAAAGTCATCGGAACCGCAGACAATCCAGTTCTTTCTTGCGACGAATCGGCCGGCTCGGACAGGGACATCGGTGAGCTCGAAGGTCTTGACGATCTGCTGAGTCTCGTATGACCAGATGTAGACATGACCGCTGTACAAAGTCGTAAGAATCCATGGCTCTTGAGGGTGAAAGTCAATGCCCTTCACCCGCTCGCTGCGGGCGAACAATTGTCGCTGGAAAGAATAAGTCAGCTACCCAGAGCTATTCAGGGGACGACAGGTTGGCGAGAGCTATGCAGCTGCAGCTCTGGCTAACCCAATAGCTCTTGCTCGACCAATGCGCAGAGCTGAGGAATTCCATTCGGTCTGGTTCGTACCTTGACGTCGACCTTCATGTTGACGACCTATGCCTGAATACCAGCAAGGGAGAAAGTTGAAGGAAAGGTGATGGTGTCCTCGAGAAACGAAGTGGGGGAAGAGTGGTTCTTGCGCTGGATAGGACACCTAAAGGGGAATCATACGTGGCAGTCCGACTAACTCGAGAAAAGGAGAGAGGAATAGCAGAGGCCGCTGGAAGCCAGTCGCGGAGGAAAGAGTCGGGGAGCCTCGTCAGCTTGTGTCGTGGGAATTGATGGCTTCCAGAGCTTTGGCAGGCGCAATTTTGGCCAAGTCGGTATTTCGAGCTTCAACAGATGTGTCCCTACCGTCGCCAGGTTCAGGAGCTGATTGGTGCCTTAATGATGTGGCTTTTGCCTAAGGCACATACATTTGAGCCACGTAAACTGAGATGCCCTTCAATTGCATCGCTTATCTTATCTGACAGCCAAAGCCACACCCACATCATCAGCCACAACTCAAGTAAGGTACCAGGTAAGTGGCCGCACATCAGCCTCTCACTTCCAGGCTGCGGTATATACCTTACTAAAGTAGATACCTGGTTTCTGAATCCCCTCAGAAGGCAGTCGGTAAGAATTTGCGGCGGCTCTTTTTCATACGGAAGTTTACACGCAATTTTGACATTTGGGATTCAAGCAGAGTCTGCCGGATTTATTGATGTACATTTATCATATGCAAGATCCATGGACAGCATCTTATGCACATCTTCCGCTGTCGCATACACACGCTTCACCTGTTTATTTTCATAAGTGATGTACGAAGTCACAAATCGCGGCTCGCGAGGCAGATGGGTTGTTTTGTTTGGAAATAGTGTTTGGATTTGTAGCTCAGATCTATTGATCTTGATCCTACCCTTTAACTCGGGTTTGCTCAGAAATTGCGCTAAAGCTGCGCTCTCTTAGTATCCTCAAACTCCATGCTTGTCCCAGTGATATATGCTAAAACGCCGAAAAAATCATGCCCGTCAATCGTTACACATCAAAGCTTTCCGGTGAGTCATTCCTCACTGTCGGCCTGGACCTTGCGAACAACAGCAGCCAACATGGGGTGAATCTTCTCCGAAGACTGGATGCCACAGATCTTGGTAACAGCCTCCTCTGGGGAATTCTCAGACATGAGCTTGGAGAGCTCTTTGCTCTCATCATCACCCTCAACGTCCTGGAAGCGGAACGCCATCTCAGCTGCGCGGAGCAGAGCAGTGCAGTCCTCACCCTTCTCGGCAAGCTCGGCCGCGGGGCCGACGAAGCGCTCCTTGCGGCTCAACTTGCGGAGAGGCGCGCGTCCGACACGCTCAACAGCGTCCTCCAAATGGGGGTTGCCGATGCGGCGAATGATCTTGGCAGCATACTCACGCTGGGCCTTCTCGTCGATGCCGTGCTTGCTAATGATCAGGTTGCTGGTCTCCTCGAGAGCCTTACGAACCTCGGCCATGATGGCCTTGTCCTGAAGCGCATCGTAGACGGTGCGCTTACCGCGGTTGTAACCGTGGTAGGCAGCAGTAGCGTGGCCAGTGTTGACGGTGTAAAGCTTGCGCTCAATGAAAGGAGCGAGCTCATCGACCCAGTTGATACCCTCAATGCTGGGAATCTCCTCGAAGGGTGTACGCTCGACAACCCACTCGTAGAACTTCTCGAGGGTGACGTCGAGACCAGCATTCGGGTCCTGAGCAGGAACGATGCGGTCAATGGCGGAGTTGGCGTACCGTGCACGCTCGTGGTGGTCCTCCAAGCGGTGGACAGCAGTGTTGCGAGGGTCCTTGATGTGCTCAGCAAGGGTGTCGGTGGCGCCAATAGCGTTCTCGCAGGCAATGACAGAGATGGGTGCCAGGTCGCTGGGACGCTTGTCAATACCCTTGGCGATGACAGGGGCGATAAACTTGAGGATGTTTGGGCCGACGGAGCACGTGACGACATCAGCCGTGGCAATCTCCTCGACCAGCTCTGCCTCGTGTGTTCTTGAGTTGATGGCGCGGTAGTTTGTAATTGTGTTCTCGTTGGTACCCTCAGCACCGACCTCGATAACCCGGTATGAAGGGGTCTCGTTCAGCTTATCAATGAGAGCATCGGCGACGTCGGCGAAGACGACCTCGTAGCCGGAGTTGTGGAGAAAGCAGGCGACGAATCCACGGCCGATGTTGCCGGCGCCGAAGTGGACGGCCTTCTTAGTGAATTGTTGTGTTGACATGTTGGGCGTGTGTGTAAGGTGTGGGTGTTGGAAGGGTGGGGGTTTGTTTGTTGGATATAGTTTAGGAATAGGGTAAAAGGCGATTGTTTGGAGCCTCGAAATGTTTTGGTTTATCAAGATCGCTCAAGATCGAGTATGTGAGTGGGATATTGAATGGAATGGTGAGAAGAAAAGCCTGTGATCAAAGGGGGGAACAGGTTGTCTTTATAATCTGAGCGTGTCGCCTTCACGAGAAGGACCACGACGATGTAAAGGACGGCGAGTGTGTCTGGGAAGGCACCATGGGATGGCCTTGACGTGTGAAAGGCTCATTTACAGTGGGGGCATCGGCTGGAAGGGGAAAGCATGAAGGAGTGGAGGGGGACCCATGCAATACGTCGTCCATGACGGGACGTAGGGATGAGGAAAGGTCACCTCAGGTACTTCTGTGTAGTGCATCGCACATAAAGGTACATCGGGCGCCGGGAGGGCAGATACGTATCGCCCATGTACTCCTTTTTCCCGCGCTGAGATCATCACGTACCCGGAGTACTGGGTACATCTGGGCGGGCTCCCACCAAAAGACCTCAGAGAGTCTGTGTCAATGGTCAAGGACTGCCCCCCAGAGCAATGACATAACGCCGCATCCCCTTCAACCCCAGCCATGCCATCATCCCCAGTATTTCCTGGCCTTGCAGCAAATAGACAAGCCAGCTTTCTTGAGTCCATCCCGTCACCTCGTCCACAAGGCTCCGCTTCGTTGAAACGGAGTCGGCGCCGCCTTAGCTCTCTGGCTACCGCCCCTTGAGCCAACGAACATGCAGCATTTCATCAACAAGTACGGAGTACCGTTCTACAGTCTCCACTAAGGGGTGACTGCAGAAGGGGGCGTGCCGTCAGAGGAAAACACTATGGAGAAAGTAACGATGGGCGCAGTCCAAAGTGATGCAACTGCTGAGAGGGGACAAGGGTACGGAGTGTGGTCCATGGAGGGGTCGCAGACTCGCTGCCCCTCCGCCAGGCTGGGTTGGACTTGGAATGGATGCCGATTGTGGATGAATGGGGGGAGGGCCTTGAGGCAGAGGAGAATCAAGAGGAGAAAGGATGTCCGTGGTTTGCATCCTTCGCCAATCATCATGAGCTCTTTGTCGGCTGCCTTTATCCCTCTGCCGTTGTTGAGTATTCACTTAATACCTGTTGGTTTGCAGATAGACGGCAGAGACATCTCGGCGTCAGCCACGCCGGCCTGATGAGTGTGTCTACATCGCATGTGAGGAATCATCTTGTATTAGCACATGCCTTGCCTTCAGAGTTGCTCCTGGAAAGCTTCTCTGCTGTCTTCGCTTCTGGCTGGTGGGAAGTTATCGGCTCTCATGCCCGTCAGACAACGATAGAACAGGAAGCTCCACTGAATCTGGAAAGGACAGTAGAGTAACAGGTGATGGCAGCCCGGAGAGGCGAGTACCTAAGATACGCAGTAAGGCCCGAAACGGTCATCCGTGGCCCTTCACCAGCATCACATGTGCTTGGAAGTTCAAGGAATAGGTGTGCCTAGGCCTGCTTGTGGTGCTGAGTGTGTATGTCTGCAGGAAACACACACAATGAGGCTTTTTGGTGCCCTGGTGTTCCGGTGCCTTAGCATTCGTTGTATCGCTTCGCAATAGGGTAGCCGAGACATTGATGCTGGCTGGTCCTGAATACTAGGTACTGTTGCCTATCCACGGAGAATACCGTACGCCCGCTGTACTACGTATGGAACCGAACCCCCAGAATCCCTCCATCTCTTGAGAGGTTGTGGTGGATGGACGGGTACGTGGACAAATGGATAGATTGCCATGCCGGTTCCGTCCGGCCTGGAACCGCAGGGACCCTGAATTGTCAACAGCATGGTAGTCGACTCGGGACATGTGGCTGGCCGCGGCAACGATCTAATGTGCTATGAAGAGAATTGGTGTTGCCGTTGGCAATAGTATGGACATCGAACATTTCGCGTGGACTTGGCCGATGCGGCAGGTGTATCGAGAAGTAACAACACCGGTGTATCCAGCATCCGAAAGGGTTGCCAAGGAGGGGTACGGAGTAGTTTGGAAGAGGCATTTCTTCCCTTGTCGTAACATCTCGGATCGCAAATCGAAATCGTGGATCAGTAACCTGCTACCGACAAGTCGCACTACGTTTTGCCAGGGGCTGGTGCCTCCATGGCCTGTTCCTGAATTTCGCCGCGCCGCCTCACGATGAATGGTCCAACGGCCCGCCGAGAGGGCCGAGGAACCGTGGAAATTGGAGAATGCATAGATTTGTTAGAGTGCATTCGCAGGATTCGTGGCAGATGAAAGGGCCAGGCTGCCACTCGGCGCAAGTAAGTTGGCTCAGCGCTATGCAATGCCACGTCCGATAATCAACCGGAGACTCGTCAGAGAGTTAGATGAAGGCGGCATTGCTTCGATCGTGAGAGTTGGATATAGACCAGTGGTCGAATCAGAAGACGGCATCTGGGGCCCCATCCTGGGTGGGCTTGATCATTGATGGCCCCTACTTCTGTCCTTTTGGCGTGCCCCGCGGCTTGTGCTGGCGAAATGTGCGAACTCAGACTCAGCCATGAAACGGGACGGATTACCGTGGAATCTGGAGCTTGAGGGATAAATTACGGCGGCGGCTGTTCTTCCTCGTCAGGCCTGTCCGCCTGGGAGACCCTTGCCTGGAATGCAGGCCACAAACGCGGGACTGCGATTCGTGGAGGTGTCGACATGGCGCCACTTTGGGGTTTGTCGTCGCCGCGCCCAGGCGATTAGGATCCGCAATTTCTCGCTTTGTTGACGCCGACGGTGACCAACAGGGCCAAGTGCAGCGGAGATTCGGAGAGATGGCCAGCGTGTTTGTAGGGACCTTCGTACGGTGGCGGCAACTCTGTTGGGTTTTGTGGTTTGCAGGCCGGAGGGTGCCAGAAAGAGGACTGCGGCTCATCAGGACCAGTCATGGCTGGAGAATCCGAGAGCGATAAGACGACAAGAAGTGGAAATTCCGGGCCTCAGGCGGCGTTGGTATGCTTCGACTGCTTTTGGCCCGAAGATATGGGGCTTCATCGGCCAATACGGTCCGCCTCGTGAAGGTAGCCCCGTGGTGATGGTTGGACCAGTTCGTATTGTACGGAAGGTGATGGATGGTGCATTTTGCGGACCAGAACCAGAACCGGCGATGCTTGGCCCAAGGTTTGGAAGGAGAATGCGGTACGGCGGAGGCACTAGGTACCTCTTCGCTCTCTCTCCCCGTGTCCCCGTGTATTCCTCAGGCTGTTGGAGCCCTCCACAGCCCCCAGTTGCCGATGAACACCTGCATGGAGGGTGCAACCTCTTGCGCGAAAAGGGACATCAAGACAAGACGCAGGCGGGACATTTGGGAAGTGAGATTCTGCCTGCGATCCCGAACGCGAGTCTGGATTTGTTGACCTTGGTGAGGATGATTCGTCAACGGGAGAAAGCTGGGTCCCAAGGGCTCAGCTTCGATTGCCCATCGCTTCTCGCTTGCTTTCCTCCCCTGCCTGTGTAGTAGGTATGCACGGCATGTAATGACTGTTCCCTATGATCCGGTTGTCTGCTTGCCGCCTTGGTGATGCCTGGATGAAGTAATCGAGCTGAGCAGTCGATATGGATAGTTGAGTGGATTAGGCCGAGTTGAGCCCCGATAGTCGAATGTGGTTATGCTCATGTTGTGTCACCAAACTGGAGCACGTTGCGTGTGTGTTGAATGCCGTGGAATGACACTTCACGATGATGTCTTGCGGTTGTGGCTGTCTGAACCTGGGATTGCTTGAGAGGGTCCGTCGTGTAGAGGCGAGAGACATCCGGAATCTGCTGGAACATGTACTTCTCCACGTTGTGTCAACCAGAAGATACCTCCACCCGGGCCCAGCATCGTGTTTCTGGTGGGGGTCGTCTCCGTTTCTGGTCTCCAAAGAAAACGGCCCTGCCCCCAGTATTCCTTCTCCTCAATGGCGCAACTATGAAATTACCTCTGTGTCTGGACTCGGGGAAGAACAGAAGACGGACGGCTGACATTGGGTCCCGTATGGAGATGGCACTTGCCCACTCGAGTCGACGAGCAAATCGGCGAATCATCGACAGATATCACAACTGCTCCTTCCTCGAGGTTCGAGAGTCTGAGGTACACCCTTCGGTACCTCCTTCTTCTCTTTGTACCTCGAGTAAGGTACCTAGAGAGGGTACTTACTTGGCTCTTGCCCCCCGCTCCTTGTTCCTTCCCTTTATCCTCTCAAACGGTGGGTCCCTTGTCTGTGGAGACGCTTATCCGTCTTGCCCAGGGAAACCACGGCACTCCCGACACTTCCGTTTGCGGTCTGCGGTATCTGGCGCAGCTCTGGCCCGAAATCCCCCGCCCACACCCGTCTCAAACTCTCGCTGATTCCGTCTCTCCGCCGGCCTGGTGCCCACTGTCACCGACCATGTTTCCCATGTCTTCGGCATCGCAAGCCGCCAGATAACAGTGTTGCGACTCTCGCTTTATTCTAACCAGAGGTATCACATGGAGTTGGCATAAATCCAATCATCATTCCTTCGGCTGACTGTACAGGTAGGAAGCATCCTTCGGTCGCGTTGCAGAGTGCGTCCGGCTAAGCAACCACCACATCCGATGCTGTGTACCGAACACACAAGATGCCGGCATACCCTCTATAATACTGGTGCATGCGCTCCTCCAACAGAATGCCGGTCCTCCTCTCTGTACTCGCGACACTATGCAGATTACCTGTCAACGTTACAGACTTTGGCTTCCCGGCGGGACCAGCCACAGGAGCACCCAATAGCTTTCGATGCTGTAGTGATACACTCCGAGCGACATAGGTCAGGCTGCACTTGATTTACGCCCTCTTTTCAGATGAGGCTCGAAGCAAGATATTCCTCTTCTCAGCAATGTTGAACAGCTAGCTTAGCCCTAGTAGTCTTCCAGTGGCTGCGTACTGTGTACAGCGAACCATCTCAACACCACAGGGCAGCGAGCGTCTGGCGGCCCGAGGCGCCCATATCACCTTTCATACACCTCCAGTTTTCGCTGCCAAATAACTCCCTCGGCTGAAGGCTGGTGTTGTCAACATCATTTTTCAACTGCTGTGCTCTGCTTCAGTCCCTCGTGGCCTCTACTAACGCAGGACGCCCGGGTTAACGCACCACAGGTACGCCAACCCCGAACCACGGCGGCTGCCACTCTGCCACGCCGTTTCTCGCTATCCTTTTTCGGTCAGGTCCAGCAATTTGGGACAGTGAAAGCGAAGCCTAGGAACAGGCACATTTCAATCGTCAAAGTGTATTGTCGTCATCGCTTGCTTTGGCTTCCAAATTATGTGCCAACCACCCGGATACAGGTGCTAGCCCATTGAGTTCGGATTCATGTCACAGAGTGTGCCGGCCCATGGCTTCTCCCGCCCGATGGCCTCCGATTACATCGAGCCTCGATCGTCACCGTCATTGCCTTGACAGGCAGTCCCCATGCTGATCAGCGTAAGGGATCCCCCCTCTGCTCAAGTAGCCTCAGCGACCGCGGGGACTACAGCTCGGACGTCCGTCTGAAGACTTAAAATGCATGCTGCGTTTGTTGGGCGTTGTTGTGCATTGCATGGCGCCGCACGGCATGTCTGTCACCAACCGTCCCATGCGTCGACAGTGTAGCAAAGAAACCTCGCAGACATCTTAAGGGACGGAATGACGTCGATGTATCGCTCCAGCAAATCGAATATGAACTTAACGGTCCAAGAAAGGTTGAGTCTATACCACTTTGGACGTTTGGCTATGTATCACATTAGATACTACAGCAGTCGCGTTACAGCTTACCAGACGTTATCCTACCATCGTGTACTACTTCAACTGTGCGCTCAAGCAAATCGGCCAGCCAGTCGATGTAGGTACTCCATTTCGAAATAAGCCACCATTGCACAGCAAACCCGCGGGGCTCATCTGTGTCCTCCGAGAGAGCGTGCCTTGATAACGCCTGGGATTCATTACCCTACTGGATGGATTGGACGCCTCAATCCTGGCCCATCTCACGATGTTGCGCTAGTCACAACTTGAAAGTGCCAGTAGTCATTAAGGGAAACCCCAGTAATCCCACTATCACATACGTAGTGTACGTATCCGTACATACGAAAAGCAAAGTCTCTTGAGGACTCCATTGCGGCGGAGCCAGGCACATTCGCCAATTGGCTAGGGATTGAGGAGACTCCTTGAGAAAACGGCATGCAGACACTTTCACGCTTTCTGACTGGACAAGGAGTACAATCAGCAACCCAGGGAACTCAGTCCGACTGCGAATGTCCTCACTCTTTAGACTTGGGTCTTGGCATGCGTCATTGCTGGGGCTTTTCTATGCGTCCACGCCCGCCAGTCCATGTCAAGCCCGCGGACCCTTTTCCCACCAAGACGCTTCTTTGCAACATGACTGGCTACTGGCTTTGCCCGCCATTCTGCACCAGGTAAACCTAGGCATCAAGGGTCTTGTTAGCCTTTTGCGAGTCGCAGGTACTTAGGATAAGGGCCCCTCAGGGTGTGCGATTAGTTCGGAGACCCTGGTCCTGGCTGGCGCCCGTTGCAGCTTGTACTTTACACATTCACGATGCGCCAAGTTGAGGTTTGTCAGAAACTCAATGGACCCGTCATCCCTTCGACGATGGTCGGCTACGACAGATGGGGCTCTGGCGATTTAGTCGAGTTATCGCTCGCAAGAGCACGTCATTCCACCTCGCTAGCAAACAAACCCGGTGCTCAACTGTCGTGAGTCTTTTCGAATTTCGGACTCGATTGCCGGGCTTTTCTCCTTGGGCTTGAGTCGTAATTTGACCATGTTTTGCAACAGTTGCTCACCACATGCCGCATGGTAGCACCACAGACGTTCAAGTTCCAACAGATCGATCGTCCAGCTTGGGAGGAGATATTCAGGACCAACTGCCTTTCCGGATCTCGAATCCCATCGCTACATCTGTACATCTCTCGGCTACAGCGTCTATCCCACAAGATAAACGGTGGTCATAGCAATGCTTGAGTCGTTGACGGCCCGCTAGTGGGCAACCCCAGATGATCCCAAAGGTGGTGATGGATCAACGGATGGTCGTTGTGGACGGTCAGTTCCACGTGAGGATGACAAGAGATCCAGCGATCCACGAGATGGGACTGGTGTGGACTACGCGTTTGGCGCGGCCACCATGGACGGTTGCGGCGGTTGGGCACATGCACCTGGATCGACCCCTATCTCACGCATCGCATTGTCGTTGGAAGTCCATGGCAAGATGACACTATTCATAAAGGTCCACGTGCTGGTTTCTACCAGATTGCGACATTTTTTGTCAGCCTCACATCGTCCCGAGGCTTGCCACCGTTCAGAAGCAGATCAGGCCTTCAAAGCATTGCAGCGCACAGCATCTCAGCTTCAGTCGTCCTCATGCAGGTAGGCACATGGAAAGGCACATGAGAGACTTCATGAAGATGGACTTTATCCGGCGACTTCATTTCCTAGGACGCAGGTCCATCACGTTGCCAAACGCAACCATCCACTGCAAGGTTGGCTTGGACGGCCCGATACCAACAACAAACGCCAATCTCTCTCCTCCGGGCAGCGGGATATTTTCCGGCACAGGCAACTCTAAAATCTGGAAATAGCTCAATACACTCCCATCGTCGGCGGCCTCACCTGCCTTTCACCCGGCGGAAAATCCCACTGCACCTCAGCGCTTACCGCCCAGATGAACGTGGACTGACTCGGTTACCTTCTCACTCCTACCCCGTGAAATGCTACGGATGTTCATCGGTACTGTAGGTCACATATGTATGTTCTCCATGGGGTTGACTATGCACGTTGACCAAAAAAGACAGAAAAAGTCGCCCGGGCAGCACCGCATCACGTTCCCGAAGTGGGGCCGATTTTCTCCGATCCGCACAAAGTTTCAACATCGGTGTCTTCTGTTCAATGTTCTCATTTGGCCATTTCAACTGCCACTCGCTAGATGTATTCAGCTGCTTTCCGATATTTGCCCTCGGCCGACAAGGTGGGATTTGAGACATACCTAGGCTTTCTGATGCCACAAATATCGGCACCCATCTTTTCTATCAAGCTTGTGGCCGTTGATGCACAAACACCATATGGAACTTGGCTTGTGAGAGTGCAAGACCTTTCTGCCTCTGGCTGCCTCCGGCTGCCCGGGTCCTTCGCCTTCACAGAATTTACTACCTTTTGCTGCACTGGGTTACTGGTTAAGGGTGTGCTACAAGTTGACTGCGGCTAGAGCGCCTTTTACAAAAAAAGTAAATTCGAGCTGACATCAGCAACCTGTTGGTGCAAGCCTGTAGACGGGCGATTGACGGCTAGTCATCGGCGGCGGTCGGCTAGGCGGCAGGGCAAGACACCCTTGGCGGGACGGCATCCGTGGACCATCACGGTAGTAGGCCAAGAGGCGGAGAACGACCAGTCCGAAATATGTTCGGCACCGTCCTCAACATCGGCTTACCACGGGATCATTCGTGATCTGTCCATTCAATGTGCGCTTCTAGTTCAGTCACAGCCAACGGCCGTAGACGATTTCTTTGGGGACCCGATGTGTCAAGAATACGGTTGGCGGCGGTCTACCTCTCAAAAAACGCAGCCCGCCGTCGATCGATTCGCGTCGGGAGTTTACACGGTAGGACTCCATGCAGTTCAGAAAAAGCTGAGAACTGAGCGGTTCAATTCGCCGGTGGCGAGACGCAGCAGACGCGGTGCCTTTTTCGCTGACCCAGCTTGCCAGCCAAGTCGCTGGTCAGAGCCATGTCCGCCATGCGCGCGTGTTATGCACCGACACCGCACCTCCCTCCCGTGCCTCTTTGGGCGGGTGCAGATGCGAAGCCACGTCTTGAAGTCGAGTGAAAGCACATCTCCGCACTGCATTTGCCTCTGCGGGGAACAATCGGTACAGAAAGGTGCTCCCCGAGTCCCCAGACCAACCAGCGGAGCACGCCTTTTTGGTTTTGAGGAGAGTGAGGGAGGGAGGGGCTGCTATCTGTATCCGCAAAGATAGTGAAGGCGTTCGTGGAGCAGGGAGATAAACGTGTGCCCGACGAATTCTGTGCGGGTTCCCACTGCTGAGTAGACACACTTTTCCACGTAGAGAATCCGCCGTGGAGCATGCGCCGTCCGCTCTGGTTGCTTGCTCCATCGCCTATCCTTGCCCCGTCTGCTCGCAGCTAGAATTATGGGTCATCGGGGATTCGTATCGTGCTAGAAAACCCCCCAGCGTCTACAACACACACGCCGTTGTGGAGTTTCTCTACGGATCCATGAGTAGGCGAAGAAGCGGCTACCTTAGCCACTACGAATCGTCTGGGTTGAACGTTGATCCAGAGTCGAGATGGAGACCTCGATGAGGGTCCATCCACATCGTGAACACCCTCACGGAGGGGCCCACGAGAGGATGCGGTCCAAAGAGGAGTCTGGACGTTCGAGACCTGACGATCGCAGTCTATTTCTCCATTGTGATTGATACCGCAGCCCAGTGGTCTGGAGGGGAGTATGAAGTCCTTCATTGAGGCAAGTTCCCTGACGATCCCGTGGGAATTCTGGGTTCTCGTCAGATCATGGTCCTCTGATGTTCCGAATCGCGATCGGTCATCTTTCCAAAAGGGTCTCTTTATTGTTGTGACCTTACAGCCCTTAACCCGTGCAGGTGGACTAGCGATAGGGCCACAATCATGGCTTTCCAGTCGTGGGTTGAGCCCTGGGTTACATGTTTGATCTGCTCGTCTTCAACATCCGCATGGCACTCAGTCATCAACATTACGGCCACATCCCGAAGAAGAGTTTCCACAAAGTCCTCATCGTCGTAGACGATTGCGTTTTCCTTCATAATGGCACCTTCCGCTCCCCACATGGCGCCATGAGACGTCGTCGAGAGTACGCAGTTTGTCTTGCGGGCTGGATGCCCACCTCCGACTTCGAGTATAATAAGTACCCGCAATCAAGGAGTATATGGAACTCATAGCCATCTGGCGTTCTGGGACCGTCGTTTCTCTTGTACTCTGCGACGACCATCCCTTCCCATAAGTACACCTGCCGACACCGACTGAAAAGTGTCCGTGTAGACTCAGGGACAAGATCATGGCGTTTGGGTAAATCTTTCCAAGCGACATCTTTTTAAAGATCGTACTATCTCCCATTTCGGTCCGCTGGTCTCATATTCATTAGTGATGCAACTTGGGATGGAGAATAGTGAGAGCCTGTAAAGCGCTGCTTTACCGATCAAGAACGGCACCCCCTACTGCCCACTATCCACAACATCATGATGAGATGTGTGGTTGTTCAAGGGACCACCTCCAGAGTCTTGGTCCGACAATGCACGACTGCTGCGTGTGAAGTTCGACCTTCGCGTCTACCACATGCTACTATCCAGTCGACTAGCCGTAGGTCTGATCCCATGTATCGAAAGCCTGATATCCCAGCCACGGCAGAGAGCTATAAACTGACGCGTTTAGGGCTAAGAAACTGTTGCGTTGCTCGTGAACAGCGCGTAAGTTGCGCCTCATACCGAGAAATCAGCGCATCCAGACGCGTCCGGGGCTCACTTCCGTGATCATGTGGCTCTTCATCACCTCTGACTATCTTGAAACGATTGAGATGTAGGGTTCTGAATTCTCCATGGGCACCACTGAATCAGGCTCTGCAGGAAATATTCGCACTTAGACTTGGGGGCAACTCGTGACGGGAGTGATACACTGTGCGCGAGATAGTTCGTCGACATTGATCAGACACTCTCTACTGATTCTTTGGTTCGCAAGTATATCAGAAAATGGGCAAGGAAATCAAGTCGCTAGTAGGTTCGCAGCGGAGGAGAAAATGTGTCCTGTACTGTTTATGTCTCTGCCCGGTACGAGAACATATTAAAGAGCGCTATCTACTGACCAAAAAGTTAATGAAAGAGAGCCCTTTTCAAAGAGGAGTCTAAGTGACAGCAGATGAGTAGTTTGTGGTCTCGATAAGAGGTTTGGAACAAAACTAGAGATTCCACCATGACCAAATGCCAATCTCTTTTGACACATGAAAGCACGGATACAACGTAAAGAACCCAACACAGAACTCGATATACCTCCAGCCCGAAGACTTCACTTTGAAATGGCAAGGGTTCCAGCCATCAATGGGGAAACAATACGAGTCTGGCATTAGCCTCTTCACTCCAGCCCCGGCATTTTTCCTTCCACCCAACCTAGGACTTCATGTTGTCAGAAACTCAGCAAAGTCAGCATAAGCTCGAAGGGTCGACTCACCTCGTAAGTAAGCAGTTGTGACAATTTCATGCCAGGTGTGTCTTGTAGAATAGATGCCTGTGGTTTAATATACGCTGACAAGATGATTCAGATCCTATGACACACCTGACATGGATACTTCGAATGAACCGACGCCATACTCGCTACTCGTGTTCCGGAATGCTTCTAATTGCACTCCTGTTCCGTTCCTGCATACTAGGTCAAGAGGATCTCGGTGCGATAAAACGCTTCCCCATGACTTATCCGCTGTTAAGTACTGAAACTTTGAGACATTTATCATAAAACTAGGATCACCGAGGTCTCAGATACCAAAGATTGGAAGCTGGATTCCTTCAAGACCGAACCCCAGAGTCAGCAAAGGCGCACATTGAATGTAAAATACCAATGTTCAAGGGGGAAAGTGCGTGTCTTTCTTGCGTGGATGCTCCTTGTCCTCCCAAAAGAAAGAAAATCTAGATGTCGTCTTTACACCTTTGAGATATTCCTTTGCGTCGTGAATTGTATACACAGGAGAGTGCGAGTAGCAAGCAATATCACGAGTACAAAGTGGACTCAGGTGTAGACAAGATTTCTTCATTTTTGTAGGCTGCTGGCTTCATCGGGGCGTGAACCGCTCTTCACGCCACCCCTTCTCTTTCCGATTTTATAAAACTACCAAAGGACAAAGGAACATTATTCATTACAAGTTGGAGTACTTCTTGAAAGCGCCAATCAGACCGCCAGTGGAGGCGTCGTGGCCCTCACCGTTGCCAGCCTCGTCAAGCTCCTTGAGAATCTTCTTGGCCAGGACCTTGCCCAGCTCGACACCCCACTGGTCAAAGGCGTTGATGTCCCAGATGGCGGCCTCAGTGAAGGTAAGGTGCTCGTAGTAGACAATCAGAGCACCAAGCTCGGCGGGGCCAATGTGGCCACCGACCAAGATGCTGGTGGTGGGGCGGTTGCCGAGGAAGATCTTGTGGGGGACAAGCTCCTCGGGGGCACCCTCGGCGCGGACCTGGTCAGCGGTCTTGCCGACCATCAGGGCCTCAGCCTGGGCAAAATAGTTGGAGGCGAGCATCTTCTGGTGGACACCGTCACCAATGGGGTTGTGGCTCTTGGCGGCCAAGATGAAGTCGGCGGGGATCAGCTTGGTACCCTGGTGGACGAGCTGGAAGAAGGAGTGCTGGGCATTGGTGCAGGGCTCGCCGAAGAGGATGGGACCTAGTCATGGTTGTTAGTTTTTGGGAGCACAGTCGTATCAAGGCATGTCCTTACCGGTGGTGTACTTGGCGGGAGTTCCGTCAGAGGTAATGGTCTTGCCGTTGGACTCCATGGAAAGCTGCTGGAGGTAGGCAGGGAAGCGGTGCAGGTACTGGTCGAAGCTGTTTGCGACTGGTTAGAACCAAACAATCTATTGATGCTCGGCGTAGGAAACACTCACGGAGCAACCAGGTGGGTCTGGGCCTGGAAGAAGTCAGAGTACCAAACGCTCAGGAGACCTCCCAGAACGGGGATGTTTTCCGCAAGGGGAGTCTCGCGGAAGTGCTTGTCCATCTCGTGGGCACCGGCAAGGAACTTATGGAAGTTGTCGTAGCCGACGTAGATGGCGACACTGAGGCCAATGGCACTCCAGACGGAGTAGCGACCGCCAACCCAGCTCTCGAAGCCGAACATGTTCTTGGCGTCGATGCCGAACTTGGTGACCTCCTCCTCGTTGGTGGACAGAGCAACAAAGTGCTTGGCGATCTCGCCCTTGCCGTCCGTCTTCTCGAGGAACCACGACTTGGCCGTGTTGGCGTTGGTGGTGGTCTCCGCGGTGGTGAAGGTCTTGGAGGCGATGAGGAAGAGGGTGGTCTCGGGATCCGAGTTGGCGAGGGCCTCGGCCATGTGGGTACCGTCAATGTTGGAGACGAAGTGGAGGGTTTGGTCCTTGGCACCGTAGTGCTTGAGGGCCTCGGTGACCATGACGGGGCCGCTGCGAGGGATGTTAGTTCGAACACCGGAGGCTTCTCTGTGTTCACAGGTAGGAGGGGGAGCAGAAAAGACTCACAGATCGGAACCTCCGATACCGACGTTGACAATGGTGGTGAGCTTCTTGCCGGTGTAGCCCTTCCACTCGCCGCTGCGGACCTGCTCGGAGAACTCCTTCATGTGCTCGAGAACCTCGCGGACACCGCCCTTGTTGCCCATGACGTCGACACCGTCAACCTTCATGTCCCAGTCGCCGACGTTGCGGAGAGCGGAGTGGTAGACGGCGCGCTTCTCGGTGAAGTTGATTTTCTCGCCGGCGAACATGGCATCGCGCTTCTTCTCGAGGTTGGCCTGCTCGGCGAGCTTGACGAGGAGGTGGAGGGTCTCATCGTTGAGGAAGTTCTTTGAAAAGTCAAAGAGGATGTCGGTGCCCGAAGCCGAGTTCTTGAAGGTACGGCTGAACTTGGCGAAACGATCCGTGTCGGCTGCGAAGGCTTCCTTCAGGACAAAGTTCTTGCCGACGTTGTCGCGGTGAGCCTGGAGCTCGGCCCACGCGGGAAGGCTGGATGCTTGAGGCATTTTGGGCGGTATAGAGTGTAGTCGATAGAAGCTAGAGATTGGACGATGGTGATCTTTGGAGGAAGAGAACGTCAGCAATGGGATTCTAGGGGCATGTATGCAGGAGTGGTGATGGGAAGTGTACCTCTTGGGTATCGAATTGACCAAGTGAAGGTATATAGAGATCAGGCTAAAAACAAGAAAAGGAGGTATGTAAAAAGTCAGGTTAGGTAAAAGGTGTGTGTGTGTGTGTGTGTGTGTGTTGTCGTGGACTGACTATGACAGTGGGAGGAGCAGGACGGGGAGAGTTGCGGCGGTTCTACTGGGACCTAAGCAACCGTGGAAGTGAAAGTGGGATGGAATTGGATGGGTGCGGCGTTCAGAGCTTGAGAGCAGCCAATGGGAGGGCTCAACTCGAGGTGGCATGTCTGGCGTGGAGGGGTAATTGCGTACAAAAACACTGCTGGAACGCGGGGCATGGCACGCTGTATTCGCACCGAGTGACAGTGGAGGGCCTGGGAAGCGGAAGCAAAAGCACTAACCTTGGGGGGAGGAGAAATGACGCCAGGTGAATTACCTAAGCGTACTAATGTACCTCAAATACCTAGCAGAGATTCTGCAAGTGGAAGAGAGCTACCTAAGGTACACGGAAGCTCAGTAAGGCAAGTGCAGGGGATGAGGTAGACAGATGGGGGTATCAATGTTGGTAGGTTAGAGAAGATGGGAAAATGCAAGGCAGAGGGAGAGCAAAGAGGGAAAAGGGACAAGAGCAAGAGGATAAGCAATGTGGGAGGGCTGCGCTTTAGAAGAAAATGGAACACGAGACGACGATACCTCTCACAAGTTCGCCCTTCACTTACGGATATTGTCAAGGCCGTCGGATATCTCTCACGAGCTGCGGTGACTTACCTCGAGAGAAGTGGGCTGGGAACCGGGTCCCGTCGCTATTGTTGAGTGAATTGGTGAGGCCCTCGCCCAAGTTTCTCCGTCATCGTCCACCGTCATACCCCCTGCCCCGCCGTGCCCCCCGCCGGCGTCGCTGTGACAGCCCCGAAGCAGAACGAAGCTTACCTAAACACACGATGCCATGCTCCGTACCTCGCACTTCCCTCGTCTCGACGGTCTCCCAGCCATCCACTAACACCTATCGCCATCTTCCATCCACAATCTCAGCCAACCGTACCAATTGACGCTCCTCTTTCTTATCTGCTATATCCGACAGCCGATTACTCATGGCGGATGCATTGAAGCTACCTTAATAACCCCCCATCCAACCCCCCACCAACCAAGTCCCGCGGACAAGTTCATTTTTTTCGGCCCTTGAACTGGAGCTTTAGTGTACCTGCCTGCTCCCCGGGACAGTGAGATATTTTGTCTTCGGGGCAATTCCGTCCGGGGGGATACTTGAGGCTGTTCATGGAGCACATAAACTCGGCCTCCGACCCCCTGCGGCGACAAAATGTGCAACCTGGAAATCCATTGACTTCCTCAAGCAGCTCAGTTGAGGCTGGCATGCCGCAGAACATCGTGAACCTTGAGACGACAGGTCTTGAAGCGGTCACTCCGATATGGTGGGCCCTGCGCTGACTAACTCCCGCTACATCCCGTCCCGGTAGATCCGACGTCCGATCTCTTTTGTCAGACACCACCATTGACGTCCCGGCCCGATTCCGTCCTCTATCCCCAGGCGGGGATTTGTCAACATGTACAAATTCCAAGTTTGCAACTTACATTCCTTAGCACGTTAGCTTAGAAGCCTATGAGTTGGAGATGCCACCAAGGATTGAGGGTGCATCACTACCATGCCGAGCTGGACGGTGCAGAAAGAGATGCCCGTGAATGATGATGCTGAGAGCTGATTCGTCTGTCTGTCTGCTCAATGATCTGTGCCTATCTACATTTCCTTTTCCCCAAAAGGCGTCATCATGCCCATTCCAAAACGCCGTACAAAGACGAAGATGCAAAGCTGTTTGTTGTCGAGTGCGCGTGCGCACTCAATGTGTCCCCGACCATTCCCTGTCGAGTTGCTTTGCTGTAAGCTTAGCTTAAGCTAAACCCTTGAATCACCAAGCCCACTCCACACAATATCATGCTTCGCTTTCTTTCTAGCCCTGCCCTGCTCTGCCCCTTTGCCGAGCCTGCTTCCTCCCCAATTCTATTCTTCAAGCATGCTCAACTCGTCCGTTGACTCGTCGTGCTCAAGCCGCCTATCGGTTGTCCTGGATGCTGCCCACAAAGGAAGGGTCCTTGACACTGCCTCCGGCATCACCCAGGCCCGCGATAGGTCGGTTATAGCTGAAGCCCTGGAACTGGTTCTGCATCGTCTGCGAGAGCATCGGGCCCTCCACGTACGAATCCTGGGGTGCTTCTGACGTGAACTCGGGATCGAAGTTGGCTGTATCGAGAGCGTCCACCTGAAAGAAAACACGCGTTAGCGGAAGCTGCCATGGGAGCAAATCACATTTTTTTTTTTGGCATTGCCATCATCATATCATTACTTACCACATTGGGCTTGAACGCAGGCTCGTACTTGCGCTGCAGAAGCTTGCGCCAGTCAATGGCGTGGAAGAAGGGATGGGCCTTAATCTCGGCCGATCCATTGGCACCGAGACGCTCCTTGGGGTCGCGGTTGAGGAGCTTGGTCAAGAGATCCTTGGCCGCGGGGGGCACGACGTCATGGCCGGGGAAGTGGAGAGGCTCCGAGAGGATCTTGCGATACATCTCGTTCGTGTTCTCGTCGTAGAAGGGGGGCAGTCCCGTCAACATCTCGTACAGGAGAACACCAAGGGTCCACCAGTCCACCGTCTTGTTGTAGCCCTGGCCCATGAGCAGCTCAGGCGCCAGGTACTCGGGCGTACCGCAGAATGTGTTGGTTCTGTCCTCGTCCTTCATGTCCAGCTTGCAAAGGCCAAAGTCGCAGAGGGCAATGTGTCCCTGGTAGTCGAGGAGAATGTTCTCGGGCTTGAGATCGCGGTAGATGACGTTGAAGCCGTGGAGGCACTCGAGAGCGCAGAGGAGTTCGGCAGTGTAGAAGCGCGAGCGGTTGACGTCGAATCTCTGCTCCTTTTGGAGGTGGTGGAAAAGCTCGCCTCCGTTGACAAAGGCCAAGACGAAGTAGAGCTTCTCAGGCGACTGGAAGGTAAACTTGAGAGGAACGATGAAGGGGTTGTTAATCTGCGCCAATACCGAGCGCTCGGCAAGGGTATGGGCGACCTCGGATCTGGAGATGATGTGTGCTTTTCGGATCGTCTTGAGGGCGTAGATTCTGTTCGTATCCTTCTTGCGCACCTGCATGACCTTGCCAAAGCTACCCTTGCCCACCACCTTGAGCAGCTCAAAGTCCTCAATTTTGAGCTTTCCGGCGCGGTTCTCGACGTACTCGACACCGATCTTGACCTTTCCGGTTCCGTACTGCACATCCACCCATTCGACTCCGCTGTGGCCGAGGGCGCGCTCGCGAGCGGCAAAGTCAGCCGCAGCCTTCTCGCGATCCTTCTTGCTCAGCTTGGGGTCCTCGACGAACTGGTGCTTCTCCTCGAAGCGGGGGTTGATGCGGGCAACACCGAGGAAGATGTCCTGGCTACGACCGGATCCGGGAGGAGCGAGGGGGTTGCGCATGTACAAGTGAATGACGAGTTCCGTCACGCGAGACACATCGAACTTGTACTGAGTGTTTCCTCCGGCCCAGAGGGGGTTCTCTGGTGTTCCCTCGACCGAGTTGACGAAGACCTGCATCTTGTCGAAATCCAGCAAGGCGTAGGGCATGTACTTGCCGGAAATGCGGCCATGGTTGGTAGGAATTCCAGTAAAGCCACCGCCAGATGTCTGTGGCCGAGCCGCGCCATTGATGAAGGAGCCGACAGCTCCTCGTTGTGAAGAAGAGGGACGCACGGAGCCGGCGACGCTGAGGGCACCGCCTGTGGACAGCGAACCTTGGTGTGAGGAGGCGAATGCTGCTCTGTGTTGTTCGGGGAGGGAGAATCCGTGGCCCTCGTGGAGGGTGACGACGAGAATACCGGGCTTGGGAGGGTTGACGACTGGTACTTGCGCCATGGCCTCAGAGGCAGCTGTAGTAGTGGGTTAGTATCAAGACGACAAGAGTAATGGGTCGGTCGGTATGGGGATATTGGAGGTTCGTGGACGGGAAGACGTACCGATAGTGTTTTCGTTGGTGGGAGTGGCCGAGCCTGCAATGTTGGCCTGGGCCTTTTCGCTGCTGTCGGTAATGGTAGATGTAGAGGGGGATCGAGAGAAGGTGTTGGCCAAGGGACCCAAATGGGTCTCCTTGAGCTTCTTCGTCAACTTCCACGACATTTTGGCAGGAAGAAGGTACGAAGGAGGGGGGATTTATTGCCGAATGCGCAGATGGCGAATCGGACTAGTGACGATGAAAATGGGTGTTGAGAAGTCAAAGTCGGGGTGATTGATGGTGCGTGCGATCGAAGGTGAGGAGAGTGCCGTCGAGAGAATGCGAGGTGGTGAGGTGAGGTTTAGGTGAGCCTTTGGGGTGAGGCGAAGCGAGTCGAGGCGGGGCGAGGAATAAAGATTGTTGTTTGGTGTTTTTGGGGGTGCGGTAGATAATGCACAGGTAGGTACGGTACCAAAGAGTAAGGTACGGTACGGTACGAGCACGGGTACGGGTAGGAGAGGACTCAAAAAGAGAGGGTATGTATGTGTGAGTGAGAGAGAGAGAGGAGTGGTCGCTCTGGGGTCGTGATTTGTTGGTGGAGGTTCAAGGTTGGCGTACAAAGACGCTCGTTGGCTCGTTGTGCTGGAGGAACCCCGCAAATTCCGCCCCCTCTCTTACTGCGTAGGCCTTTGGCTTCTTTTTTGGGGGTGGACGGACGGTACGTGTGTGGTGAGACAATCTGGCGCCGCTGGGCTGGGAGGTTTGGTTGGTTAGCTGGGTTCTGGTCGCTGTTGCTGCTGCGCTGCTTGGTACCTTGTGCTGGAGATATTGCTGACAAAAACGGGGTGACGGGGTGGCACAGTGGTGCAAGATTCCAAGTTCCAAGAGAAATCCAGTGGCACTGTGGGTGGATGGCGGGGTGAGGAGTGTATGTCTGCAGGAAGAAGAAGAAAAGCCCGCAGGACAGGGGCCGAAGAGGGAAGAGAATACTGCGAGATGCGAGGTGTGGAGGAGAGAAGATGAGGAAGTAGAAGAAAAAAAAAAGAAGGGATTCTGAATTCCTTACCTTGGTTCAGATGCTATTCTCAGCTGGAGAGATGATACGGGCTGAGCTTGGGAGCTGAGCAGTACCGGGTACGAAGTTGGGTACGGAGTAAGGTAAGGTACCTAGGTGTGCATAGTAGAGTAGGTAGACGTTGCTGAGGAAGGGAGGACGGGATGGAGCCCAGGGCAGAAAAGGAGTGGGAGGCACAGGCGACAGGAGGTACCTTCCTTACGGGTAGGAGCCGAGAAAGGTAGGAACGGAATACAAATTAGGTAGCTCCTGCCACAATTGCGTCTTAATTCACTTTGGGGTTTTTTTTTGGATGGGATTCAGGGGCTTCTTTTCAAAGAAAGACAGTTTGCTCTAACTTTACGAAAAGTAAGCACGGAGTACCTTAGGTAGTGCACTCGAGATGCGGAGTCTCGTCCAGATTCACAAGCAGTAGCCAAGTTGGGACAGGATTCAGGAGGCACAGGAGGGATGGGAATAGGAGGTGCAACGAGACTCAGGACTCAGGAGGCGGTGCATTTGGGGCCCTGGGGAACTTGGAAGGCAAGAACCTAGGGGTCAACGAGAGGGGGGACAATGATGAAATCTCTCGAGTCCACGCCTGGGAAAGCCTGTTCTGACACTCACACGGTACGGGGAGAGCGATACAAGTACCCGGCAAGAGGCGAGACATTTTGACAAAGGCACAGGGAGTCAGGGGACATGCTCTTCACACAGTAAAAGCCCACATGGCAGAGAGGGGCGGTGGACACGGGAGAAGGGGTACGAGACAGGTACAGTGTCCTCTCACTCGAGGACTGTGATTACCAAAGATTCAAGATGCTGACCAAAGCTGCACACAGCAACAAGTTAACAATCCGTTTCCCGTACCTTAGCTCGTTACCCCCCAATTTGGCCACCAAATTGCCTCTCTTTTCCACCAGCCAACCACGTCTCTCAAACCCCCGGCTGCCTCTTGCTGAACCTGGGCAACTGGGCAACCGGGCTGATGGGTTGACGTCCAACCTCAATCAACTGTCAACTAAGCGAAAGTCAATCCAAGTTGGATATTGCGCCTGTACAAGTATGTACATTGGACATCGGGCACCTGTCTTGCAAGATATTCGACATAAGGTAGCTATGACTGTTCCAATGTTATCTACCAAGGCTGCTTTGGCCGGGATCACACATATAAACGTTGCACATTGCTGGGTGATGCACAACACCTACCAGGACATGGCGAATGAACAAACCGTACGGCATTCCATCCTTATATGCGTGTTGTGCACATGGACATATCGTTCATGAAGGATACCCAACTGCCATACGGACTGAACTAATAAGGTATCACACGGAGCTACCCGATTCCCATGCACTTCGTCTGTTCATCAGCGGATCCAGGATCCAGTGGCTCGATAGTCCCTCAAATGCCCCTTGTGTATCCGTATACTATGTAATATGTCTGCGTAAAAGCACCTGCCATCTGCAGCCCGGAGCCCCATCCCACCAGAGCCCAAGACTCGGACTAACAATTGACAAGTTTGGAGAGCCCGTGTTGCAATAGGTGCACTAGAGGCGGGAGCCCTGCGTCGATCCGTTACAGCGCGGCGCACGTGAGCCAGGGGACCCCATCCACGGGAAGAAGTTGCACTGTGTTTGCGGCCCATTGTCAAATCAAAGCGGACTTGCAAGTGGCACAGTATCAGAACGGATACCTATTTCCTCAGGGGCAACTGGGCAGCTGAACTTGGGTAGGTACTCGAGGAAAGCTTCCTTTGCATTATGCGAGTGTTGAGAAGTTCGTCTTTCGAAGCTCGCACTCAAGAAGAGTTGCCTGTGATTGACTGCTCTTTGGCATTGTGGGCGTTTCGTCAGTCTTATTACTCCTCTTCCGCGCCGATCGACCCATGTTGATGCACAATTATGCCATATCAAGCTGGCGCATGATATGTCGAGTCTCGTCGCTCGCAGGTACGGGGTTTAAGGGGAACAATGCCGCCGGTGGGATGTGAAACTCACGACTACTTTTCATGTCACGTGCAAGCTCTACTGCACCCGACTCCTGAAACCGCGGAAGCTGAAGATCACCGGACCTTCCACGTGATCTCGTCGAATTTGCTTACATAACTCACACCTGGCTCCGAGATGGCATGAACCCACCCACAATCCCGGGAGGCTCCATTCCTTCCAGACTTGAGGTGGAAACAGCGAAAACGGGCCTAACGGGTTGCCACATTCGATGCTTCACCGAACTCAGACGTGTTCGGTGAACTTTTTGCCCGTGATGCCATTGAGCCTCAAGTGAGCACATCACCACAACACAGCAAGTCGAGATCAAACGGCAATGCTTGCCGGTCAAGACATTGTCGCCGACTCGTATCGGGGAATTAGCAGCTAACTAGCCAGGAAGGATTCAGCCCCTAGCCAGGCACGCCAGGCTGTCCTCTACGCCTCTGGCGCAAAGCACCGACTAGCCCGACATCTATCAGGCCATCATGCCATGTTGTCCCTAATCATTCCGCTGTCGTCGTATCAAAGGCCATGGGCGACGGCCATGGCAAAGATCTACAGATATATCAACTCAGTGTCTACGACAAGTGTCGTTCCACTCCGTCTATGCAGTACATAGAAAAACACATCACACAATGTCGACGGCATCATCAAAGGAAAATTCTCTCCCCTCCGACGTCGCAGTGGCCGAAGCTTCAGCCTCAAAAAGCGCCGTTGTCGAACATCCAAAGGCCGATGCAGATGCTGTCGCAAAGGCCGAAGATCATATAATCCCGCCTGCAATCCAGCCACTTCAATTGAGTGACGAACCCTCTGATGCTGCTCCTCACACAGAACCGGAGTTGATACCTCCCGTATATATCACAGGATGGAGGCTCTACGCCATCATATCCGGGTATGCAACGCTGGTTCCGTTTCGTCGGCCGCCTTGGCTAATACCTGAACCTCTAGATTGTGCATGTCGCTCTTCTTGTCCACGCTTGAGACCACCATCGTTAGCACGTCACTTGTCTCCATTACCAACGCTTTACACGGGTTTGAGCAGCGGGATTGGATCGTCACCTCGTATCTGCTTACTTACACTGGTAAGCCTGCACCTCAAGGTCTTCTTCTTGTTCATTGTGTTGCCGCCGTCTGACACTGGCCAGGATTTCTCATCATATTCGCCAAGTTCAGTGACGTGCTAGGCAGAAAATTCGTCGTTCTCCTGTCTTTGGCCATCTTCACGATATTTTCCATCGTGTGCGGTGTAATATCGTCCATGGTACAGCTGTAAGACAGCCCGAGCCGTTCGTCGTCTGATATCGAAACTGACTTGGGAGGGCAGTATCATCTTCCGTGCCTTTCAGGGAGTCGGAGCGTCTGGCATATATGCCATGGTCAATGTGATTAACCCTGAACTGGTTCCGTCCGACAAATGGGGCAATATCGTCGCTGGCACCTCGCTTGTTCTCGTCTTCAGCTCCGTGCTAGGCCCAGTCCTAGGAGGCGTAATCAACGACCACTCGAGTTGGCGATGGGTCTTTTTACTCAAGTGTGTTTTCCCTTCCTCTTCCCCTCAATTGGACATATCGCAGGATTCGCACTTATCGTCCATGGTAGTGCGCCGACGGGCGCTTTTGCAACCGCTCTCCTCGCGTTCCTTTTGCCGTCCAATTTTCCGCACCAGGGCCGCGGGGTAAATCAGCCAAGCACGCGGGACAAGTTCAGCGGAGCCGCAATCGCCAGGCTAGACTTTGTAGGAGCCGCCGTGCTGCTCGCAGCATCAATCCTTCTCGTCTTTGGCTTCGAGGAGGCCGGCTCAAGATATCCGTGGAACAGCTCCATCGTCATTTCTACGATTGTTTGCGGAGGCAGTCTCTTTTTGGCCTTCATTGCATGTGAGTACGTGGTTGGCAAGCCAAAGTATCCACAAGAGCCCGTATTCCCTCTGCGGCTGTTGAAGGATCGACACTTTGTTGGCCTGTTTTTGTGAGTCTTCTCCAACTTTGCTGCAGCGCCGAGGCGTAGCTCACCAGTTGTGTCAGGACCGCCTTCTTCACCGGCCTGCCGTTCATGACCGCCTTGATCAACCTCCCGCAGCGCTTCCAAGCCGTCCACGGATTGACTCCCTTTGCTGCGGGCGTCCATACGCTCCCTCTCCTCCTCAGCTCTCCACTTGCCGCCGCAGTGTCTGGCCCGTTGACCACCAAGATGGACGTGCCGCCTTTCTATCTGTTGCTATTTGGGGCGTGCATGCAGATTCTGGGCGTGGGCCTCGCTAGCTCCGTAACTCCTGATAGATTGAGAGACTTGCTGGGGTTCGAAGCGATCATGGGCTTTGGCTTTGGTATGACACTGGTGACGGTCCTCATCTATGTCCCTTTCCTGGTTGACCGGCGGGACCTTGGTAAGCATCACCTTGCAGCTGTCATGCATTTACCTGACGAATAAACATAGCCGTTTCAATGGGAGCCGTAACACAGTTTCGGACATTGGGGGGCACCATTGGCTTGGCCGTGGGGTGAGTGCCTCTTCTCCATCAAACATGTCGTCTCACCTTGTTGTAAGTTGCTGATTCGTCTTCCTATGCAGGGCGACCATTCTCAACAACCACCTCTCATCCAGTCTCCCAAACTACCTCACCCCCTCAGAGATGCAATCCATTTCCGATTCGGTTCAATTCATAGACAGTCTACCAGCCCCCACACGGACTGCCGTTCGATCCGTGTTCAGCGAGGGTTACAACGAGCAGCTCCGTACCATGCTCTACTTTAGCGTCGCCGTTCTCGTCTCCTTGACACTCATGTGGGATCGAAACCTTAAACGGGCCCGTGACATGAAGGGGTATTGAAATTTCTCCGATGTTGGAACGTTCCAGTGCCCGTACACCATGGGGATATGAACATCGGCCAAGCTTTGGGACGGACCTGCCCTTGGGATTGGAAGGTTCAGACGCCGTGAACACCTCTTGGAGCTACACGCAAAACTTGGAGAAGTAATAGTCAGTCCAGCGGGGGAAGCTGATGCTTGGTAGGAAGACCCAATTGGGGGCGGCGATGCACACAGGAGAGCTCGACGGATGCCCGGGGAACCGATGCAACGTGGGCCGGATCCTCGAAACACGCAGTAGGGAGTGCATGTAGACTGTAGTCTCAAGCAACGCCGGGAACATCTTCCGAGCGGCATTCTCCAAGACTCCACAACGGATAACCTCAAGGGGGAACGACAACACCAACTCTGCTCTCCTGCATGCGCCTGGCATACACCATCCACCGTCCTGCAGCAACGCATGGTTGGTGGCCCTTGAGAGGAAACGGCGACACGCTGCAGAGGCGATTCGCTGTCCTGCAACACTTTATGGCCGCCCGCAGCTATTTTGATTGCTTCAAACTGTCTGACATGCAATCAATGTCCCCGGGAACGTTGGAGAGGGGTGGAGAAATCGGCTGAGTAGAGCTGCAAAAGCCTCCAATCGTGAGTCTCGATCTAGCCAAGAGAAGGCACAGCAAGCTTAGACTTCAGGTCTGCGACGATAATTCGGCGATATTTCGGTGAGTGAGCTTGACGTCAAGATCTCCTGACTCGTTCTTGCTATTCCTGAAGCTGCCTTTCTCCTCATCTGCAAAGCCTGGGTGTAGGGACTTGGCCTGCATCGAGTGGTTTTGGAGGAATATGACCAACGGGCTAGACTTCCCCCCCATCTCACCCCCAGACTTTGAATTGCGGGGTGCAGAAACGCGGGGGGCGCGGCAGTCGACCCTTGGACCGGATAATGACCGCTCCAAAGCCAGGACCACTTGGACCCGGGAATATCGGGCCCTGTTGTGTGTCCGATGCTACTATGCGGGGGACTAGGAGTGAGCTCCGGCCCCAAGCTATCCTTACCATGTTTGCTTGGAGCTCTCTCAAAGAGTGAGACAAAACTAGGAGCTCCCAAAATGGGATATGCTGCGCTGATTCGGGGTCCAAGGTTTGGAGTGCGGCTCAACTTGTATGGGAGACCAGGCATTGGGCTTCCTCAGACTCTCTTGGCAAGTCGGGCGTGCACTACTCCGCATGTCCCGCCAATTGCCTGCTCCCGTGGCAGCCGCGTTGAGCAAGAAAGAGACTATCATCGGGCATGCGGATGTCTGGGTGCTCACTTTCATTCTGGAGGGAACATCGGCAGTGAGTTCTCCTCCACCATTGATCTACCCAACAATTGGCAACGGCGTATCGATGGCACCGCATGAAGCTGATGGTCCTGCGCCTTTGGTGTCGGTGAGTGCGGGGAAAGCTGGGAGGGCATGTTGATCGGAGAGCATAGCCATGCTGCCATGCATTGGCTTTGGGTGATACACTTTCACAGACGCGCGTCGGTGATAGGTCGCGAGCCAACAAACGACACCGGATGACACGGACTCTGCATGCTTTGGACCAAATCACATCGCGAGGGCTACGGATATCCTGGAGGGATAGTCCATGGCTTCCCCTCATCCTCGCCCTCCCTGCCGGATCTTTGGTTTGAGATCCTGGAGGGTCTGGAGTAAAGTCGGGGTCGAGAACCATCCTGTCAGGACGACGAGGGGTAGCAGCGAGCAGGAAGAAGCACAGATGACTTATGCATTGCTTCCTCCCATCTCTTCATATCTATTTAATGACCGCCCCGACGGGTTGGAATTCATCTAGAACATCCTTCAACCTTTCGAACGCATTAGCAGTGTTGCAGTTGACCTGGCACGGTGTTCACGCCGCTTTGACAACTGCTGCTTGACCTCTTCTACTAAACCAAGTGCCCTCAAAACTTCTTTTGATATCCCACCGGAAACATGAGTGGAGCTATCCCGGACGAGTTTGACATTATTGTCTGTGGTGGTGGCAGCTGTGGTTGTGTCGTTGCTGGACGGTTTGTCTCATCTATTCAGACCTGACAGTTTGTCAGTAGTGTTCTCCGAACAACACTAACATCCAACACAGACTTGCCAACTTGGACCACAATCTCAAGGTGCTTCTAATTGAGAATGGCGAGAGCAACCTCAACAACCCATGGGTGTTCCGCCCGGGTATCTACCCACGGAACATGAAGCTCGACTCAAAGACGGCTACGTTCTACGAGTCTAGGCCGTCCAAGCACCTCTCTGGACGCTCGGCCATTGTTCCCTGCGCCAATATTCTCGGCGGAGGCTCTTCGATCAACTTCATGGTCAGTATGATATTGTTGCTGAAGAAAGATGGCCCACTGACTTTTGTTACAGATGTACACCCGTGCATCCGCCTCCGACTACGATGATTTCCAGGCAAAGGGCTGGTCTACCAAGGAGCTCCTGCCTCTGATGAAGAAGCACGAGACATATCAGCGAGCTTCCCACAACAGGTAAGTTGCCATAGTGAGTAACTGAACGGCATTAGAATCTTTGACTGACATGCCATGCGTCAGGGACACTCACGGATTCGACGGGCCTATTAAGGTTTCCTTCGGCAACTAGTAAGTTCAGCTCCCCGCAGAGTCGAACCGTAATGGAAGAATCCGAAACTAACCGTCGTTACACAGCACGTACCCCATCAAGGACGATTTCCTTCGTGCTGCTTCGTCCCAGGGTATCCCTGTCGTTGACGATCTCCAGGATCTGTCAACTGGTCATGGAGCTGAGCACTGGCTGAAGTGGATCAACCGAGATGTGAGCTTATTCTTTACCAGTAACAATGTCGAGGAATTCATGTATCAAGTACTAACAATGGCATTCAGACTGGACGTCGCAGTGACAGCGCTCACGCTTACATCCACGCAACCCGGGCCAAGCACTCCAACCTTTACCTTGCTTGCAACACCAAGGTTGACAAGGTCATCATTGAGAACGGCCGGGCTGTTGGTGTCCACACCATGTAAGTGATTCTGCCAACTGCTACTACCTACTTCAAATCTGATTGTGAATCATAGCCCGAGCAAGCCACTTGTCCCCAGCGAGGTTAAGGGACGCACGTTCAGGGCTCGCAAGCAGATTGTAATTTCCGGTGGCACTCTTTCTTCGCCTCTCATTCTCCAGCGCTCTGGTGTTGGTGACCCCGAGAAGCTTCGTCGCGTTGGTGTAGAGCCCATTGTCGACCTTCCTGGCGTTGGTCTCAACTTCCAGGACCACTACCTCACGTTCTCGACCTACCGCGCGAAGCCCGGTACCGAGAGTTTTGATGACTTTGTCCGCGGAGACCCAGAGACTCAGAAGCGTACGGTTTCAAATACCCAATGTACAATGATTGCCAGACTAACATGAATTCAGGCGTCTTTGATGAGTGGAATATCAAGGGCACTGGTCCCCTCGCCACCAACGGCATTGAAGCAGGTGTTAAGATTCGCCCTACTCCCGAGGAACTCGCCGAGTTTGAGAAATGGCCTACTCCACACTTCAAGGACGGCTGGAAGTCGTACTTTGAGAACAAGCCCGACAAGCCAGTCATGCACTACTCAGTCATTGCTGGCTGGTTCGGTGACCACATGGTGATGCCCCCCGGAAACTTCTTCACCATGTTCCACTTCCTCGAGTACCCCTTCTCTCGTGGATCCACCCACATCAAGTCACCCAACCCCTACGACGCGCCCGACTTCGATGCCGGCTTCATGAACGACGAGCGAGACATGGTCCCTATGGTCTGGGGTTACATCAAGTCCCGCGAGACAGCCCGCCGCATGGACGCTTACGCCGGAGAGGTTGCCAACATGCACCCCTTCTTCTCGTATGACTCGGAGGCGCGCGCGAGAGACATGGACCTCGAGACCACCAACAAGTATGCCCTGCCCGGTAACCTGAGCGCGGGTATCCAGCACGGTAGCTGGACGCAGCCGCTTAACGAGGCCGAGAGCAAGGCCGACAAGATCAAGACTCTCTCAGCTCACCGCGTTGATGCTCGTGATGAGCTCAAGTACTCTGATGAGGATATCAAGGCTGTTGAGGAGTGGGTTAAGCGCCACGTTGAGACCACCTGGCACAGTCTCGGAGTAAGTCCCTCAGGTCTTTCTGTGGTGTACGAATACTTGCTGACTATATGATTTTAGACCTGCTCCATGGCTCCCAAGGAGGGCAACAGCATCGTCAAGCACGGTGTCTTGGACGAGCGTCTAAACGTCCACGGCGTCAAGGGCCTCAAGGTTGCCGATCTTTCCATCTGCCCCGACAACGTCGGTTGCAACACGTACGTCTTTGGGTCTCCGACTTTCATCAGAAATTCACAAGGCTAATGATTTCTTTCAGATATTCAACCGCTCTTCTCATTGGAGAGAAGGCTGCCATGCTCGTCGCCGAAGACTTGGGTTACTCTGGCGAGGCCCTCGAGATGAAGGTGCCCACATATCACGCGCCCGGCGAGTTTGTCCTTCAACATCGTCTCTAATTGGATGGCACTGCCTTTGTTTGCCCCTACCTCCACAAAATTGGATGTATTTACGAGACCACAATACCTTGCGACCTCTATTGCTTTGTGTTATCTTTAGTTTGTCGATAGCCAACTTCTATTCAGTCAAATATGCCTCGACGCGCTCAGTGACGTACCAAGAACTAAAGTCTTCTTCAATGGATGCGGTTATTACAAGGTTTAGTAATATAGGCTGCACTACGGTCGGATGTCGGCAACGATTTGTATTACTTCGGGAGTTTTTGAGACGGGTCTATCTTAGCTCGCATGGCATCGGTAAAACAGTTGTCTGAATCTACTACTACAACGCAGATCTAATCTGTCATCTCATGTTTAGTGTGAGTCTACGCACGCTGGCAAGGACCGGCACGTACGGTCGGGTGAGTGGAAACTATTGCGTAGTTTGGCTGATGAGGTACCAGTTACGTCATGACTGGGCATGTCCTGATCTCATTCTCACGGTATTTACTATATGCTAGTCAATTTAAAAAAGGGTAGTTGACATGTTACATTTCAGACATCTGCCAAGAGTATACTTGGCATCTGTAAGTTGCTTCTCAAGAAGCTTGTGTCTCTCATCCATTATCAAGCTCAACATTAGGAAACTCAATGTCAGACCCCAACTCTCCCCACATCAAATCGCGCGATACTCCATCTTGGGGCTTGTATCAGCGGGAGAACTTTTGGAAGCTAAATGAGGGCGAAGTTCCCCAATTTAACACTCGTGAGTCTCGTGGCAGAGACGCAATGCTCACCTTGGATCGAAACTGATCATACCAGACCCCGACAAACTTGAGGACCTTGCCAAGCAGAAGTTGACTCAAAATGGATGGTATGGGCTCGCCGAGCAAATTCATTTCTTATTTTCTAATACAGATACAGGTACTATGCATCTTCGAACGCGGGCCTTTCACACACGCATCTCGCCAACCGGCAGGCATTCTTCCGGCACAAAATCGTCCCTCGTCAATTAGTCGACACCAATAAGCGTTCAACCCGGACCACCATCTTCGGTCACGAGGTTTCTGCCCCCTTCGGAATTGCTCCGATTGGCATCAACAAGATTTACCACCCGCAAGGCGAACTACCCGTGGCCAAAGTGGCCGGAGAGCTGGGCATCCCTTACAGCCTCTCAACAGCCGGATCGTGTGCGATTGAGGACGTCGCTCAAGCCAATGATGCTGGGCGCGCTTCAGCCATCGAAGCTCAGTCCGCAGACAAGTCCAAGATCCCAGAGGGTCCGCGTTTCTTCCAGCTTTACATGCCCCACGATGACGAGCTTACCCTCTCCTTGTTGACGAGGGCTCATGAGTCTGGCTTCACGGCATGCATTCTCACGACAGATACATGGCAGCTGGGATGGCGACATGACGACATCGCAACGTCGAATTATGCGTTTTACCGCGGTATCGGTGCTGACTTGGGCCTCACCGACCCCGTGTTCCGGAAACGCCTCGCGGCTAAAGGGATCGATCCCCAGGAAGAGCCGGAGAAGGCTGCCGCGATGTGGATCGACGGTATCTGGCACGGCCGCGCGTGGTCCTGGGATAAGGCCGTGTGGGCAAGGGAGCAATGGCAGAAGATCAGCGGTGGAAAGCCATTCTTGATCAAGGGCATTCAAAGGGTGGACGATGCGGAGAAGGCGGCGGATCTAGGATTCGAGGGTATCGTAGTGAGCGACCACGCTGGAAGGCAGGTTGACGGGGCCATTGCGAGTTTGGATGCGCTGGAGAAGATTGCGGAGAGGGTTGGAGACAGAATTGTTGTCACGTTTGATAGCGGTATTAGGGGTGCGGCGGACATGGTGAAGGCGCTCGCGCTCGGTGCCAAGTTTGTTTTCCTTGGGAGATTGTGGATTTGGGGATTGAGCATCATGGGCGAGCATGGGGTGAGGCATGTCTTGAGGGGGCTGTTGGCAGATTTGGATATCTTGATGAATGTGGCGGGGATCCAAAAGGTGAAGGATATTGACAAGAGCTTGTTAGAGTCTTTGCCCAGGTCTTATGGACTGACCTCGGAGAAGAGCAAATTGTAACTACAGTAACAGAAACGGAAAGAAAACATTGAAATCCTCGCCTTTCAATCTACAGGTCCCAATTTCAATTCTCCTCGACCGGCACAACATCTGATGAAGGACTAGGTGTCCTCAACGGCGTGACCACCACTGATCCCGCCAACTTCAAGCCCTCCTCACCAAACCCTAGGCGCCTCTGATCGGTCGACGTTTGGTTCCACACTGGCGTTGTTGGCGTTCTTGAGAATACCATCGGCCTCGGGACTGACAGTGTAGGCTCGCTTGAGCTATCTCCATCTACACTGCTTGTCCTACTTGTTTGCATGTATCCAATGGCGATTAGGTACCGCAAGCTCTTCCTAAGAGACAATTTCACCGAATCCTGATGTTTCAGCTGGTCATCAAGCGTCATTGTCCCTGGGGGCTGACCGAGTTTGCCGCCGGTATCTTCGACAAAATGGAGAACTGGCCACAACCTGTGGCTTGGCCCTTTGGCGTTGACCTCTTCGTGCAAGCTTCTCAACCACAGTTTGCAGTCCGTCGGCTCTATTGTGTGGCCTGTTTCCTGTCTGACGATATTCCAGTACTCTCCCATGGTGAGACCGTTCAAGACCTTCTTAACAACATGATAAGCTCCGTTGCTTTGAGGGTAAAGACAACTGTCAAGAACCGTCTTAGCTACAAGATCAACGCCTGCAGCGGCAAGCCACAAGTCACGTTCGCTGTCATTGAACATCCCAATGTCCAATGCACTGGCGGTCAACCGCCAAAGGAAATCATCCGTGTTGGAGATGCCGTCAGTGGAGCTGCCCATAATCAAGCCAGGTTTGACAATCGTGGCTAAACAGCCGAAGCCAGCATTGAGAAGTCGTTCAGCGTATCGTGCGACTAGGATCTCGGCCACAAATTTGGTCTGACTATAGGCCGGATACGACTTCAGCTCCGCTGCGATTTTCCCGACATCGTCTGGAGAAGTGGACAAGTGACCACCTGATACGTAAGTCAGGCGAACTGGACGAGATGCTGTCGCTTTTGTCAACGCTGTGAGAATGTTGACGGTCGAAAGGATATTGGCTGGCGTCAGCGCCTGAAAGTCGGCCATCCAGTTGACAACTGCCCCATTGTGGACAACCGCATCGATCAACTCACCACAGACGCTTGTGCCATCAAGTCGAGACCATGAAGCGTCTGAAAGACCGAGATGTGGGAGAGATAAATCGCCATGCCAGACTTCGATGCGATCAAAATATCCTTCTTGCCACCAACTGCTGCCACGAGCAAGAGACAAGAGCCGCTCAGTGGCGTGGGCTGAGTCTTGGCCTCTGACTAACACCACGGCCTTGTGATTCTGTGGTCGTTGCAAGATCTGAGCCAGCAATTGGTTCCCGAGAAATCCGGTGGCTCCTGTTAAGAGGATGATCTTGGGGGTATGTGATGTCTCAATCTCTGCATACGATCTTGGCAACGGTGACGCTGCGAGTGGTCGATCATTAACTTCAATCTCATGCATCAAGTCGATGGTGTTGTCATCATGCGACCCTTGCTGATCTTCAAAGACCAATTGAGCAATGTCTCTGATGGTCGCCGCGCTGTTCATGTACTCTTGAATCGGGATGCTGACATTGTAGGTTTTTCGAACGAATGTTGACAGTGAAATGACCTGGATAGAGTCCATACCAGCGTAGAAGGGGTTAAAGTTGTGACCACGCAAGGTTTCTGCTCTCTGAGAATCGCCAACTGATAGAAGCTCGGCAAGCTTGTTGCTGATACTCAAAGCAATGTGCTCGCTAGCCGCTAGCATGTCAGTGTCTTCCTGCACCATGCCACGTTCTGGATTCTCAGCAATGCACAGAGTCGAAGCGTATTCTTTTAACGTGCGCCGATCGAGCTTCCCAGTCGGTGTGAAAGGAATGACCTCGACTGGGATCAAGTGCGAGGGAACCATGTAGGCAGGAAGCACGGAAGCCAGTTGCTGTGTCAAGCGACCAGAAATGCCCTCGATGATGTCTCTTTTCGCCGCAAAGCCGAAAACATTGTTTTCTAGCTGAATGAAAGCCACAAGTGACTTGCTTGAAGATCCAGAGAGGACGAGGGCGTCAACAGCTACAATGGAGCCCGGCGGTAATAGCTGTGTGAGTTGATGTTCCACTTCTCCGGGCTCAACTCTTTGTCCGCGCAGTTTTATCTGTGTGTCTTTCCGTCCAAGATAAGATACTGAGCCATCGGAACTCATAATTCCAAGGTCGCCTGTCTTGTACATCCTTCTGACAGCAATGCCAGTCTCGAATTCAGTGATCCAAGCCGGATTCGTGATGAACGCCTTGGCTGTCTTGTCTGGATCGCCTAGATATCCACGAGCAATACTCGGCCCTTCGATCAAAAGCTCACCGACAGTGCCGATTGGCGCCAGGATGTCATGATTACATGGATCGACGATCCAGGTAAGAGTGTTGGCTCCATGACCAATAGAATCTGTCTTGAGCCCACCACTACTGATATCAGCGGTGGTACAGACACTGCCTTCGCAGGGTCCATAAGCATTGATGAGCTGCACAATCCCAGACCACGCCTCGATGCAATCCATAGTCATTGCCTCTCCACCCATACAAATAGTCTTGATGCTGGGGAGATCTTTCGGCTCAAGAGTTCGTGCGAAGGACGGAGTGAAGAAGGCCCAACTCGCCTGGGACCTCGAGATAAAACCAGCGAGGTCGTTCATCCTTTCTTCATCTGATGGTACACAAATGCAGGCTCCAAGAACGAAAGAATTGACAATTTCAATGATGCTGACGTCAAAGACATGAGCGGAAAATTGAAGGATCCTTGAGCTCTTGGACATATGCATCGCACTGGAATGAGCATTGGCAGCTGAACACAAGGTCTTGTGTTCCTGAATGACACCCTTGGGCTGTCCGGTGCTGCCAGACGTGAAGATGACAGTTGCGGCATTGCATGGTTGAACCTCATGGTTGGAAAAGGTGGCAATTCCAACTTCCTCAACCCTGGCGAAGAAGTTTGAGTCAACAACAACAGTGCGAACATCCAGCTCAGAGAACACATATGCATTGCTACCAGAAGCAACGACCACGTTCGCCATTGTTTCGCGGACAATGAATGCTTTACGGTCTCGTGGATGTGCAGGGTCGAGGGGGACAATCGCGCCTCCCGCTTTGAGAATAGCAAGCATCGAGATGACGGTGTACATCGACTTTTCGAAGCAATATGGTACCATCGTTTCTGGTCCAACACCCAATTCCATCAAGACTCGAGCAAGCTGGGATGCCATTGTGTCGAGTTGAGAGTAGGTCAGAGAGCCATCCCATGCGAAAACGGCTTGAGCCTCGGGTTGATTGCGCACATGTTCTTCGAAGACTGCGTGAACGCACGTATCAACAATTTGGGGCGGAAGTTTGTTCCACTCCCTGATATCGGACAGATCCTTCGCGATGGGATTGCGAAAGAAATTATCCAGGACTTGGGTTTCGGAAGATGCCAGGAACTCAAGAGCGCTTGCGAAGTAGTCCACAAGGCGTTCCATCTCGGCAGCTTCGACAGACTGAGGATCGTAATTCACATTCAGAAAGACCTCGTTCTGCCCAAGATTGCACTCAAACATGATATCGTGAGATCTGAACTTGTCAAGGTCCTGAGGCCTACGATAGCTGATGAATGGACCATTTTTCATGGCCATATCAACCTCTGGCTGTACGATCATCATAGTTTGAAAGTCGCAGGCTGATCGGCATGAAGAATTGATGCGAGCGATATTCTGTATTCCCATCTGCTCGAAAGGGATCATGTTGATCGTGCTCATCTGTATGCTATCAAGCAAGTCGCGCACCGATGATGTGCCATTACACCGAATCCTTAATGGGACAGTTGCGATGATTGGCCCGAGAATGGACTCGATATTGTCAAACGGGGCATTCCTCCCAGACGATGTAACACCAAAGACGACGTCGTCAGAGTTGCTAAAGCGGCTGATGACCAATGCCCAAGCTGCACGCAGCATAGTAGTTGCAGTGGCATCCGTACTCGATGGTGGCACAGGGACCTTTCGAACAACAAAAGCTGGTATCTGATGCTCCAGGGCACCAAACGCTGTTGATGGCTTCCTCGGGAACGATGCGAATTGTCCTCCCTTGAAGACTGAACTCCAGTACCTCGATGCAGATTCCATATGCATGCCCTTGAAGTGTTTCATAAACGAGGCAAAGGAAGTTTCAGTTGGCTTCAGAGCACCATGGAAAGCATCCCGTACTGATTGAAGGGTGAGGCCAACGGCCTGGCCATCAGTTACAGCGTGGTGCACCGTCCATACCATGTGAGAAGCATCACCTCCTGCATTATAGACGATGCCGAACCGATTGAGCGGCACTCCAAAGGTTGAAGGTACGTCCAAGTCCACCGCGAGATACTCTTCGAGATTGAAGCTCTCATTCCAAGTCAAATTCTCTCGGACTATGACTTGGAGGATACCCGAAGAAATGGTGTCAACCAATCGAACGCGGAGTATTCCGTGAGCCTCAGCGACAGTCTCCCAAGCCATCTTCAACCTTGTAATATCGATGTCGGCGGTGACGTCAAGAACGTACTGTACCAAGTAAGAGTTGGAAGTTGAAGAAGATAGTGCCATGAGACCTTCCTGTAAAGGAGTACAAGGAAACACATCTTCAATGTCTCCTGCGCTAATGGCACATTCGCAGGAAATCTCATGAAGAAGTTCACTAAAGCCTTCCTTGTTGACAAGCTCGAACGGCCGTACCTCAAATGTTGTCTTCTTGAACTCAGTTGCAAGCAGGCAAAGATCTTGTAGAGAGGGACTCTTGAAGATCTGAGCGACACTCAGTTGCAACCCTTTTCTTCGAGCAGCAGTTACTAGGCTGATAGCCGCAAGCGAGTCTCCGCCAAGACGGAAGAAACTACTAGTAGCCACGATCGCGACAGGCTGAATCCCTAGCACCTCAGCCCAGAGGTCTCGCATGAGACAGAGCTGTGGCGTCTCTTCAACCTGCACGATA